TTTTTTGAAAGTTTCTCACAAATAGACCCCTGGCGGAAAGAATTCAAAAAATGGACCCTTAGCTCGGCGCCATTGATGCTGGCACCGAGCTAACAGGTCTCGTAGCGCCAGCGTCCCTGGCGCCGAGCTCCTAGGCTCGATAGATGACATGGCAGGGAGCTCGGCGCCAGTCACTCTAGCACCGAGCTCAGCGCCATAGATCTTGGCTCCGGGCCTTTATTACCTATGGGCCCCATGCCTCTCTTCCTCTCCTCTCTCTCACCCTAGCAGAGCAGAGCCGCCACCGCCGCCCATGCCTCCACCGGCCGCCCTCGCCCGCGCCATGCCCACATGCAGAGGAGGCTTGGGTTCCTCTAGCCAAGCAGCTACAGGGGACGGGGACGAGGACAAGGAAGACGACGACATGGACAAGAGGCATGAGGAGCTTGACCCCTCTCAGCACCATGATGCTCCCTCGACTCATCCTACACGCCTCTAGGCACTAGGTGATGCTGTCCGTGTGACCCTTACACTCCAGGTACGAGCGCTCTCGATCACAAGGGTAAGGGCAAGAGTAGGAGGCAGTGAGGGATGTGGTAGTTGTTAGTATGCACTATTATGGATTTTGTATTTATTTTTCTGTAACTATTTTGGACTGTATGGACATTGTGGACTATTTGGACTGTGTAGGATATATTATGTTGGTTGTGATGTTTGTTGTGGTTGCATTTTGCTCCTTGGATGATTAAATATTTGGAATATATAATGATGTCTTTATTTGTAACTGTGGATGCTCCTAAAACAAGGGAAACTCTTGTGAATTTTTTTCATGAAACATTAATCATACTACACTGCTAAAAAACACAAATGTAGTACACAGATTAACTATAAATTTATTAGAACGTGTATAATCCAAATGTATCGTATATACGCTTTGTAGATGAATCTAGGGTTACCAAGCAATAGTGAACGAATCTATGCTTTTTAGACAATAAAAATAGACTTTTCAGATACAAGGACAACAGTGATTTATCACATCACTGACGTAGTACTAGCATGCAAGGAAGCACAACTCCACTCTATCTCCACCATCCATCTTATGACTGTTTGATCCAAGGGCTAAGATGAAGAGGCACACGGATCGCTGACATGGCACATTGATAGGCCTCCATTCCTCCTCTCAACCTATAAATAACCATTCCCTCTCATTCACACACAATAGGGAAGAAGAACACTCCTCAGCATTTTCTTTCATTGCAGTATCAATGTCTAGAGGGTCGTCCAGAGGGAGAGGAAAGAGGAAGGGAACTACCATTAGGTGGGAGGGTCCTCTTGGTCCCGATTTCGTTGAGGAAGCTCTTTATGAGAGGTTCCCAGTTGAGAGCAAAAGTGATTTCACCAAAGAGGCACCACTGAGAGGATACGATGAAAGGAAAGAAGAGTAGCCAAAATGCATGCATGGTGAGGACTACCTAGTGCAGATGTTCACCGAGGGAATAGATGGAGGTCATCGTTTCTTCAAATGCCCGCGAGCATGGGTAATTGCTATTACTATTTGTTTCTTCAATATGTTTCTCTTGTATATAACTTACACGACATACTTATTGTAGTCTTCCTTGACCGAAGAAAACTATGGGTTCAGTAGGTGGGTCGATCCTCGACCTATTTATCCGCATGCGGAGTACATCTACTACCTATAGGACCGTTTCTTCGATCTAGAAAGGGAAGTTTGCAGCGGTTACAAGGACGATGGACAGGACGACAACAACAATGGTGCTGATTCACAGGAGGCACTCTACAATGATCCATATTGCACCTGCCCTAACCACAAGAACAAGGGGCCTCCCCCGTCACCCCTGCCACCACCACCACCAACAATGGTAGGCTACTATGGAGAAGATGCAACACAATTTGCTATGTGGCCACACTACTAGGATGACTTTATCTTTTTCACATGCCATATTTATGTGTTTGTTGTTTGGTTTAATTATCTAAGGCATGTTAGGTTTAGTCCAAGGAAACTCTGTACCCAGGTTCGGTACATGTTCTCACATGCCATTTCATGTGTTTCGTGTGTTGAATTATATAATGTCGTACGTCGTTAGGTTTTATTTGTAGCATGTGTTCACATTTCAATACGTCCACAACATTAAGCGGAATATTGAGACCATAAATAATAAAAACAACCACATAATGAAAATTTCAATACTATGCCACATTAAACAACATAATAATACTAGAAGTACGTGCCGACAGTACACATAGGGGCAAATGCACTTCCAAATCCTCAGTCTGAAACATACTGAGTAAGCAACTCATCATCCGAGTACCAATCCTCTACTACAACCCTGTTGCTGTGGCTACGCTCACCTGCGTTGCTTTGACCTGCCTGTCGCCTGTAGTAAGCGGCCTTCGCTTCATCTGCGGCCGCTGCGGCCTGAGTGAAGAACGCGTTGTCATCCTCCTCCGCCTGTAAGCCCGCCTCTGCTAGACCGATGAGCTCACTCAGTCTGCCAGTGTCTTCCTCAGCCTCCTCCGCCTACAAGCCCGCCTCTGCTAGAGCGATGAGCTCGCTCAATCTGCCAGTATCGTCCTCAGCCTCCTATGCCTGCAAGCTTGCCTCTGCTAGAGCAATGAGCTCACTCAATCTGCCAGTGTCGTCCACATCCTCGTCCCCCTCATCAGAAAACACAATCGGTGATTGAACGGTGCGACCAACTCGCGATCTATGCTCATCTAACTTCTTCTCCTCATACCTTGCATGAGCCAGCTCTGTGGCATGTTCCTCGCTGCAACCAATTCCTTCATGTATGAAATGCAATCAGTTAGCAACGCGATTATATTATATTTAAAATCAGGCAACGAAAAAAATGCTTTCAAGCACTCGCTGGCACATAATGCAACAACATACTCATTTAAGACCTGCATCTGTACTCTTGTCTCCTCCCTTGCCTCATTCCTTGCCCTCTCCTCCTCTAACGTCATCCGTCTCTCCAATCCCCATTTGTTAAGCCCAACATCGATCGGGTTATAAATACCGCGTTGTCTAGCAAACTCACGCATCTTTCCTTTGTGATGTTTAACGAATACGTTGACGTAGTCAGGTCCATATCCTCTCTTCCGTGCAATTACTTGCCTTTTCTTTAGTTCATCCAAGAACTTAGCTTGACCATCATAACATTCCCACCTGCATTTCCTAGTTCTCTGTTCAAACGGAAAAATCTATCATATATGTCTTAGCAAAAGAAACAAAATACAATTTTATGTTTACCACAAAAATAACCAACCTCATCATACTCAACCATATGGCCGCAATAATAGCCTATTCCAAGCTCTGAAGGGACTAGGTCATAGTTGGATTTAACACCACATTCGCACATGACAGGAGGTGCTTTGTAAATTACCCTTTCTTTCTTCTTTTCCTTAACCTTTCGTGGTTCTTCCGGCCATTGGTTCTTAGGACCATACAACCACTCCTTAAAACGACACTTCGCCATTGAAAACACCTAAATAAGTAGACATTAGTACATGAACACATATAGCTCAACATTTCAACACATACACTTTGCACTTACTTCATGCTTGTTTGGACACACAAACTCCAACGTATTCTCAGGGTTTATCACATCTCGATCTCCACAATCGCACAGAGGAGGTTCCTCGAGTCGTCTAACTGCGGCTAGGTGCTTCTCCTTAGCCGTCATTGGCGGAGGGTTAGGGGAGATGGAACGCACTGCTTGAAGTGCTCACGTGGATGTCTCCCTCTAAACCAATCGTCGAAAAGGAGGTACCTAGGATCAAACTTGTCTGCACCGTCGATCCACTGAAAGAAAAGGCACCTCTCATGGTCCTACACAACAACATTCCAACAAAATATTAGTAGCATACTTACATAAATAAAGAAAAAGGATAGTGGAAATAATTTCTTACATTAAAACGACTACATGTGTAGAAGCAACGCGCCGCTGTGTCCGGATGTTTCGATTGAAAAACATGGGCCAAGAAACCACAGTCACAGTTAGGGACAGGGAGGTCAGGAGGGACAGGGGCATCTTTGCTAGACGCGTCGGGGTATAATTCTCGAGGACGACCCCGTTTTCACCAAAACTCCTCCTGAAACATTTCTTACATCTAACAAAACGGATGTAATTTAACAAACATAAATCAAAACATCACAAATAAATATCAATGAGAACCATAACTATAATACAACCAATTTCGTTCTAAGAACCGAAAGCAGTTAACATTAAACCCTAAACCTAGGTTTTTCCATTTGATGCACAACAATGAACTCATAACATAACTACATGCGCCTAGGTTTGCTAGCTTTTCCACGCCTTGGCATCATCCTACGGTTGTATAATACATATATTGAGGGATAGAATGAAACCCTAAGTGATGACGATTATTACGTTCAAAAATCAGACTAATATATACCGAATCGATGCGAAAAAACTAGGAGGGGAGCGAGGATACCTTGCTCTCAAAGGTCTACGGATCAAATCAAAGCTTCCAAGGTCCAATATGTCGATTCGTGGGGTAGGGTGAAGTGGGGAGAGAAAAACCCGAGAGGGAGGAGAAAGAAAAGGAAGAACGCTCGGGCAGGAAGGTTGGGTTGGGGTTAAATGGCAGGGAGCTCGGCGCTAGTCACTCTGGCGCCGAGCTCGGCGCCAAGATCTACGGCACCGAGCTCGGCGCCAGAGTGACTGACGCCGAGCTCCCTGCCATGTTATCTACCGAGCCCAGGAGCTCGGCGCCAGGGACACTGGCGCCGAGACGTGTTAGCTCGGCGCTAGAAATAATGGCGCCGACCTAAGGGTCCATTTTCTGAATTCTTTCCACCAATGATCTATTTATGATAAACTTTTTAAAAAAACTTAAAATATAAAAAAATTTGGTTCAACGTACCAGTATATTTGCTATTAAAATAAAAGGAGTACCGTAGCGTGGTCCTACACGCATACAACACTCTAAACTCCATACCACATGCAGTACTCTTATTATTTCTAGATATTTTTACTTCACTGCGGTCCCTGGTAGTAGTAGCTCAAAGCAGTATAGAGTGTTTGCACCAAGGTGGAAATTAGCCCGATGGACGCGGCCATGACCCCGACGACAAGCCACGGATTGGCGGAGTACTTGTGGTACAGCAACGCCATACACCGCCGCGGGCGGCTCCGGTACAAGTTGTCAAGCACCTGGCACATGGCCCTCAGGTAGTTATGGTCGGCGTCGTCAGGGTCAAACAGGACCCCCTTGCAGAGGTCGGAGAAGAAGGCGGCGACCTCGCCATCGTTCGCGAGGAGGTGCACGATGACCCCTGTCCTCGACAGGAGGTCGACGTCACTGGCAGTGCACGCCATCTGCGACATGAAGACGCAGTACGCCGTGACGTGGCTCCCGACTCCGGGGTTGTGCTGCTCTAGCGCCACCAAGTTGCGCAGGATCCGCCCGGTCTCGGCGTCGATCCTCAGGCGGGGCACCACCAGCGTGCCACTGCCGCTGTCCAGCGTCACGTCCAGGATGCAGCGGGCCTCCGTCGACCCGGCGCCGACGGGGCGGCTCTTCAAGTTCACGCCGCTGATGTAGTAGTCCATTGCCGTGCGCCACCTGCCCACTGGCTGCTGCCCGGTTGGTGACGAGGTTACACTACTTACGGTAGAGGTGGGCTTCAAGAAGTGCATGTGCACAAGGTGCAGGAGGTTGCCAGGCTCCGCCCGCGGCGTGATCCTTGCCATCGTGTACTGCTGCTTCTGCAGGATATACTTGGAGAGGTTTTCCGCGATGGTGTCCGAAAGTGGAACAACGCTGCTAGTGCCACCAGAAAAGGTTAGTTTGTGGACCTTGTCGAGGATGAAGTATGGTATCTGGTTCTCGACGAGGTAGAACACGTCGCGCAGCACCGCGAGGACCTCCTGCTTGTTGTCGCTGCCCGCCTGGTGCTGGTGCTGGTGCTGGTGCTGGTGCTGGTAGCCACCCTGAACGTGGCCATTGGGTGCTGGCGCCCTGTTCTGGGAGACGCCGACGACGTTGCCGAACCAGTGGAGCACGTAGCAGGCGTCGAGAAGCAGCATGCGCAGGAAGTCCCCGCTCGTCATGTCGTCGAACGTGTTGGCGTAGTAGCTCCTCGCACGGGCCTCGTCGGCAGCTAGCTCGCCGAGGTACGCCTCCACCGTCTTAGCAGGAGGAGTCGCCGCCGAAAGAATGGCGTCGAGGCTTGCTAGCTTGTCGTTGTACCTCCAGACGTTGGGGCTCCTTTTCCTGTGGTAGGGGCCGATGGAGACATGCTGCGGATCGTACTCCTGCGGATCCACGTTGCGGGTCAGTTCCCGCACCATGCCGATGGTCGGGGTGCATGGTGTAGAGCCACCGAGAAGTCGGCGGTGTATGGTTAGCTCCTGCTCCAGTGCTCCCGCCAGGGATCGGATGTCCACGACAACGGCAGGGGACTGGGAGTCGCCAGATGATCGCTCTGCCGCAGAAAATCAGTCAACAAATGACAGTATATATCTGGTTATTATATTCGTCATCAACTATCACAATTAGCTAGCCATACATCAAGTACTTTGCCGTTCTACTGGTGGGAAAACAACAAAAACTGAGCTGATCAACGGAGAACATTTGTTGGCACCTTGCTGGTCTTCCATTTGTCTGCAAGTTGTTTGGCTGCGTCCCTTGAGCTAGAGCTCACTCACCTTCGGCTAGCCAGCTCCCTAACCAAGCAATGACTACCTGTTCGTGCTTCTTGTGTTTCATAGCCAAGCTAATGGCCAATTGCATGTCTATATATAGATCATTCAACACTATAGCTACACCGGAATGATGATGGTTCCACTTACATTTAACTTTTGCATTCTATTCGAGCAAATAATCGAGCTGAAGGTTCAAGGACACGCACTGCATCAAAAGAAGGGGAAAAAGTACTATGTTTTAGATCGAGCTTTGCCGAAAGCGCCCAACATACAAGTCAGTCAAGCAATAAGATGGATTAAGCTTTTTTATGGAAAGAACAAAGTCACACAAGTCGCTCTTCACAAGAAATTACTCCGAAGGTTGGGCGACCCGGACCCCCCTTGATAGTGCGTACGAGAGGATCTAAGTGGTCCAGTACTCCCAGGGGTGTGCCTTAGGTTCTTGACACACTTTAAAAGCATAATTAGTTCAATCTTGTTTACATTATTAGATACCGTCTGAATTTATCCTTACATCGCATTGACAATTCGTCTCTGTATCTATACGAACCATACCATGATATAATTAAGTTGGATCCATCAATGAGCAACAAAATGAAAATAGCGCATATATACAATACAATGGGGATATACAAATTTTAACCAGCAGTTAAAAACCCTATAGAACAGTCAAAACGTATTATAATTTGGAACATATGGAGTAAGATATTTAAACAAACAAAAATGAAACTAGTTGTATAATATATATGTAATAAGTTTTCTACCTCAAAACTAAGGTATGTTTCTCTTTTATCCTCTGCCATCAGGATCATCAGCAAAAGAGGACGGACCATGAAGTGTATGAATATAAGCAATTGCATGGAAGGAGTGAAAAGGAAGATTATTGTCCTTTTTTTTCTGGATATATAGTTCCTTAGCTTTAGCACCTTTTTCAATCTTCTCGGTTAATCATTGTAATATGACAGGTCACACAGCAAAGCTAACACATAATTTACTTTCCCAGGAAAAGGTATGCTCATAACCTCATATTCATATTTGAAATGAAGATGACTATTACCCTAAAAACTACCTTTACTCTAGGCAACATTTTAGAGGATAGGCCTACACTAGTAGAGAAACAACCTTTCATCCATGGCCAAAAAGTATTTAGTCCCGGTTTCAAAATTGCAACCGTGACTAAAGGGAGGACTGGACCTTTAGTCTCGGTTTGTTATACGAACTAGGACTAATTCCACCCTTTAGTCCTAGTTGTAACGGTTACCGAGGCATGTCAGAGGCGTGTCAGTGCGAGAAGCTTTAGTCCCGGTTTAAGACACGAACATAAACTAAAAGTGTGACTTTTAATCCTGGTTTGGGACACGAACCCAGACTAAAGGTACATTTAGTCCCGGTTTATGTCTCAAACCGGGACTAAAGGGTTTGTGTCTCAAACCGGGACTAAAGGTGCCTCAAAGTGAATTTAAAAGAAAAGTGTATCTTATCTAAGTTAGATATGTGATGGGAGATGAGATGGTAACGTGTGCAAGAGCTGAACTAGAAGGTCTTGGGTTTCAATCTCCACAACCACTCCTTTTTTTCAACCAAGAAACACCTCTAGTCCCAGTTACAGGAACCGGAACTAAAAATTAAGACATTTAGTCCTTCTCAAAACCGGGATTAAAGAGTGGTTTGGGAACCGGGACTAGAACTAGTTTCTCTACTAGTGCTAGATGCCAGTCAAGCACTGAAATAAAAAAATTGCATGCTTAAATGGGGACTCAAGAACAGTTGGAGAAAAGGAATATTCCAGATGATAAGAAATATTTGTGTGTTATCATGAATAAAAATGGAGCACTATTGCTGCAAAAGGTAGAGCTTCTTATTTACTTGATACATGATCGTGAACATGATCGACGAACTAGAAAGCTTCTGTCGACGACATTATCTTCTCTTACTTTCAGCGCCAAACGAGCTGATTGGTAGCCAGCCACGTTAGGAAATGAAGATGTGGAATAACAAGAAAGTAGTAGTCTCCTAATACAAATATGAATGTATCAAAAGGTGATGCCAATCTGATAATCTCATGTACCCTACATCAACAGAGCTGGGCCTACAGCTCTGTTTCCTTGAAGCTGCCTAGATTCCACATTATCCATATTTTATACCATGTGTACGCTAAAGATTCAGTTATGGGATTCCACACACAAAAAAAAGAATTCGCACTGCAGGTGACAAGCAAATAATAAGTGTGTCCAACGAGTGTGATTAGCACAACCCATTAATTAGCTAATAAAAATTACTAATTAGTGTTGTATTTATTTATCCTCTCTTCTTTGTGTTGGTCTTTATTGATATCTATGTGATTTATGTCTAATATTTATGTTTATCTTCTTCCTCTATGTTATTCTTGTTATTATTGTTGTAGTTTTTCCTATAAAACATCTTAGTTGATCTGCATAATATACGACCAATTAGCTAGTTATGACATTAATTAGTGTTTTATCTTCCCCCTCTCTTTTATTCTAGTTATCTCAATGATTTTGTTCTATGAATTAGATTAGTTGGGTAGAGATTAGAGACTTAGGTCTCTTTAATTTTTTTTCATTCGATATAATTTTCAGTATCATTTTAGACATTTAACTGTCTTTTGTATCGCAAAACAAATATTGATTTGGTTATTATTTATACTCTTGCTAACTCAATATACATATGTGTATGTACGCGTGCATATTTTATCATATGTGATTATCATTGGTATACAAAATGGCCGGCCCCTATGATCAAATCCTGGCTCCGTCCCTGCATGATTTCAAACATAGTTTCAGTGCATATATGGAAGACAAAACAAGGAATTCAGCTATTGGCACCTCGTTGACGATCCTCCGTTTGTACAACTAGTGAATTGTACAAGATCCACCGTTTTTGTTTGTCCCAAGTTATCTGCTAGCGTTCTTATACTATATGCTAGCTGCCCCGGACTAACTAGCTAGCTACTACTAGTCTAGTACCACTCTGAAGTGTTCAAGCGATACCTTCCTCAGGCTTCACTGCTTCAGCATATATATATATATATATATATATATATATATATATATATATATCACACACATTGTGAAGGAAAATGAACTAAAATCTCGACAAAAACGAGGAGGCAGGCGTGCGTGTAGGGATTGAAAAGCTTGTTTGCAAGGTACTGTATTGTCATTCAACTTTCCGGAAAAGCACTAAAACGCGTACAAGTCAGTCAAGCACTAAGATGAATAAAGGCAGCATGCATATGGCCGTCCTATCTCTCCTTCTGTTGCATGCATAGATGAAAAAAGAAAGCAAAGCAACCCACAATTCTCTTTAACAGAAGATTTCTCAGAAGCATGCTTGACCCGTCAAATTATCATTCATGAAAGAATTTGAGTGCATCAGTGGTGCTAACAGTACGTACTCAAACAAACCCAAAAGAATACAAGAGCGCTTAGACTCACACCTCAATAAAGAGGTGAACACACAACCAAAAAGGAACTGAAATGGCTAGATTCGGTGAGTGGAAGTCGTCAAGTAGCCACTGCCCCTAGTGCGCCATCGCTGCGAATCTCCACTGGTGCCATCTTCATCCGCTTCAAGTGAGGTGACACCACACATGTCGCCGATTAGCCCACCTTCATCCATCATCACCTAGTCAGAACTAGCCGATCAAACGCGAGCCAACAGGATCCACTTCCGCTTTGCCAAATTCATGTGTAAGGGGATATATAGAGATGCTTCTAATATAAGCAAATGTGTGGAAGGAATGATACCGGAAAAGAGTTTGCACTCACTCAATCGCCTATCATCCTAGCTAGACTAAAATAACTCCTCTCATTGCTAAACTTTGCTCATGGCGCAGCTCACTGTTGGGGGCAAAGCCACAAGCCCCAGAATTCGCTAATACCTTCTCGCTTCTCTTTGCTCAGAACTTGTGATTGCAGGTGTACCTCGGATCCTTCAACGAGGGGTTCCCAAAGGCCCCCGGCTGACGACACTCGGGATCCAACGTGAAGGCCCCAAGAAGCCTTTGTCCATCATAAATCGAAGGCTTCGGCAGAGAACCTTTAGAAGCAACGAGCAGGGGCCTTTAGGAAAACAACAGCGAAGGTCCCTAGCAGTTTCCGAAAGCATCTCCTCCGGGAAACACCAAAGAGCCTTTGGGAACTACTTCCCGGGGTCACTTCGCTCCACGCAAATAAAGACCTTCGGAAAATTTCTCGGTTGTTGGCAAAGTAGAGTCCCGACAGAGGGAGGCGAACGTGCTGCCGCTTGGCCACTACCGGTGGGCCTGCACTCAAGGGCTAAGGCCTTCGGTGGTGAACGAACATGATTATCGAGGTAAAAACTCCTAGGACTTCAAGTTGGAGAGTGATCCCTTTTATTGAAGTTGAGTCCCCTTTTATAGGGTACCATTACACGCATTCATTTGTACACTTTTGCCCCTTGGCAGCTGGAGCATATTCCATATCTACAGAGCCCAACATGCCGAGGGCATTGGAGACATTTACATGCTAAACTGACTCTCCACATGGGCCCTTGTCGAGTCGTAACATAGGCCCATTGGGCTGCTCAAGGTGGCTCAGGAATCTCTTAACACGGAGACCATCTCTTCACTTGATTGTCGCGACCCACCGAAGGCCTTGCAGGTCCTTCGGCGGCTGTTTTCGGCCCTCGCCCTCAAAGGTCTTTGGGGGCGGTGGTGAAGGCCTAGTCTGTCGATCGTCAATGAAGGCTTGTGCCGACCTTCGGGTGTTGAGGATGGCGACCTAATTGTAAGGACCGTGACACCTAAGAGGGGGTGAATTAGCCAACTTAAAACTCTATTTCTAAACTATGGCCTCTAATTCCAACCTTAGCAAAACATATGCAAATAAGTAAACTATCTAAATGTGCAACTACGGTTATGCTAGGTGTGTTGCAATCTCTACCGCAAAAGAGTTATGCAACCTAGGTTCCAATCCTATCAACTAGCCTATCAACTAAGCTAGGAAAGGTAAAGCACACACCCAAGGTAGCAATGTAAATCTAGAAGCTAAAGATGAGGTATAGATGTAAACTCCCATTGATGACTCCGATATTTTTACTGAG